CGGACATCGAATTTGAACCACCCTGTACTGTTTGGGTATTTACCCTGAGCCGGGGTAAGTACCCATTTTATAAATACCTACCCGCCGGGTATTTACCCAGCGCCCATCACTGGATGGAACGGATAGCGATTTTTTAAAAAGCCGGACACCGGATATTCGGCATCCCCTTCGACTGGGATATGCTTTATCCGGCCATTATGGTTATAATTTCTGGTGCATTTTCTCTTAACTCTAAAAAGAGGATACTTTAATTAATAGTTAGCAATATTTCCACAAGAATTCTTCAAAAAATTAATTTTATAGCGAATTTTGAAATATTATTTTCTCAAAAACTAAAAGTTATTTTTCAAAACGGATTGGTTCGTTCCAAAGAAGACACTTTTATTAACACTTTGGAGTTAGTAGTTGCCGGATATCCGTTCCACCACTAATGATTACTATCTTTTTTATCGGTGACAAAATCATAATATAGATGAATTAATGCCGCATAATTAAAATTCTTTCAAAAAAAGTCACCTTGACAAGATTAAAACTTGATTCAATTCATACGATTAATGATAAACATTCAGTGGGGTTTCCAAATTTTGTTTTATCAACATTTATCGACATTTATCAACCGATGTTTATATAAATAATATAAAATTGCGTTCTCAGAATTACTGGTTTGAAATGGTCTCTGTTAAACGTTAAAAGATTAAAAGTTTAAAGAGGTCATAAACTTTGAGATGGGTGATGGGGTCTCGGTTGAATTATTATGCCATTGTCGTTCCGACACGATTGCGGTACCTTTCGTCTTTTGTTTAAAGGGAGAAAAAAATTACATGACTTGAAAGGATGTTTATTAAATGGTAAACCGCTAAGAACCATTTTAGTACAAAAGTAATAGTACTTATTTGGTGGTTATAAAATCAAGATAAGAAAAACCAGCTTAGGTAAGATGTGTTAAATTTAGAATTGAGATTAAAAATGATTATGTTGTCATTTTAGTAATTTTTTAATGCAATTTTATTTTGATTATGAAATTGAAATAAAAGTTTTGTTGTTTTTTTTTTTTTGATAACTTTTATAAAATAAACAGGATAATTTTTATCCAAATTAGTCTTCGTACCTCGGATTATGCACTTTAATATCTCGTTGTCGTCTTGACCTCTTGCGTTTTGCGACGTTGTCTTTGGGTCATTTCTTTTTTTAAGATTTAATCCGATATTTATTTCAGTACGTGTAAACATGAACATCTTTCTCGGCCTGTTTATGTTCAAAATTGGCTCGAGGTAAAAAAAGATTTCTTTCTCTCTGTGTATATCTCCATATCTTGTACAGGTCATGTTCCCTTTTTTAAACATTTATTTCGTTTTATTCGTAATAAATTATGATAAGAGATCATTGCATAATTTATTAATAAAACATTTTTGTAACGACACGTTTGACATTGAATTCTTTTTCTACGATAAGATTACAAAGATTTGGGAATTAGTTAAAAAAATAATCGGAAAAGAATGCACATCTGAAAATTTTAGATAAAAATAAATGTTATTTTGAGAATCATGCGTGATCAACGCATGTTTCTATTTTGACCTTTTAACATGAACAAAATTATTAGACGAAAAAATTTTTGTAATAAAGTAATCTTGATCTAAATTTATTTGAATCTTTGCTTAAAGTTGACCTTTTTTACATATTTCTTCGGTTAATTTAAACCGATAAAATGTTGAAACGCTCTCGGCGCCTCCGCGAATTTTAATTGTTAATTACCACTCTGTTGTAAACATGATAACAAGGGAAGAATATCGAAAGGTCAAACAGATTATTCAATAAATAATTTTCGATTTACTTTGGCACCATTCATCATTCGTCCAACCTTATCATTGAAAATCGTTAAAAATAACTAACTCATCCACGAGGGAGTAACGGTATATGTATTGGACACATCCCAAAGAAATTTAAACAGAAATAGATTAAATGCGTAGGTCTTAATACTTATTTGGAAACTCATAAGACTATTAACTATTTTTATACTTTTTTTATTGGATTCAATTGAGCCAGATGACTTCAAAAATCATTTAGGGTCACTATCATGGCCATTTTAAATGAATTAATCGACTTTCATAACTTTAACAATATTTAAAATCACATCTTAACAATAAGGTTCTATTTATTTATTCAAATTGCGAATGTCACCTTTAATTCTCCTTTACAATTGCATAAATAACCTTGTGAATGTCGATTTCAATACAATTTAATTAAAATAATTTATCATGATTTTGTGTTAATTTAGTAATTCTCCACATTTTCGTTTTACGTCAAGAAATAAAATCAGGGGTCCCAGTTAAAAGTCGGTAAATAAACCGCGACCTTCAGTTTGTCGTGTCAAAGTCGCAGGAAATCGATCGTTAAATATTAATTTTAGAAGTGTTAATTACATATCCGTTATAAAATTGCATAAACTAAAAATAAAATGATCATTAGAATCGCTAATTGTTTATTTGTTCGCTATTAAGTGATTAAAATCATTTTAATGTTTTTGTGTTAACTCAAAAATAAAGCACTTAATATGGAATTGAAGAGTAATAAACATTGTTTTAAATAATGATAATTTATATTTAAACAATTTGTTTATTTTTTTATATCTGTCAAATTGATGTGAAGTTAGTTTTGAAATCAATCTGTCATAATGACGTTTAAAGTTTATAACCCGTGGTAATACCAACACAAACCATAAAAATTTTACCTTGACAGATATATAAATTAAAATTTAAACATTTCAATTATAAACATTGACTTGATATTCAGGTTGATCTATTTAAATAAAAAATGTCGTTTGTGTCTTTTGCTATACAGGGTGTCTCACGTAACTGGTTCGTTAGAACTTTTTCAGGTTCCACTATTCGTAGAGATTTGAAATTTTGGTAGCATGGGTTGCTCATGCGGAACTTTCGATCTAAAATATTTTCAAGATGGCCGCCACTTCCGGTCTACCGGAAGTAGGCCATAACTTCGCAATTTTAAATGGAATGCTATACTTTTTATTACACCGTTTAATTGTATGTAAAAAAATAGGTTGACTTTGATAAAAGTTATTGGTACCTAGCGTTTTTCGTTTTCGAGTTATTTTGGTTTTAAGCTTTTTTTTGGAAAAGTTCAACATACTCTTTAAAACTCCATATCTCAGCCAACGTTCATTCAAAAAATATCTACGTTGGCACGATTACTCTTCAGATGTTGTCAAATAGATTGTCATTTGTTGTATCGGAGTATCTTATACAGAGTGGTCAAAAATTGAATTACTGTTTCTCCATATTCAATGCTGGGAAAGTCGAAAATTTTAAATGGAACGCCCCATATTTTTTTAGCCTATCAGAAAGAGAATTTAATTCTCTACAAATTCTCTATAAACATTCCCATACTTATTTATTGTAGTTTGCCTCATATCGCGAAATTTATTAAAACATGCACGAAATGCAGGTTTTCTTATTAGAAAGCTATGGAATTTTGACAGTTTTTGGTCCATGTTTGTATTATTGTTGTCATTTGAGTCATCAGTTACATTTGACGACGGGTGTAAGTCATTGAACATCATGATAAATTATTTCAACGCCGATATTTGAAATTTATTTTGTATTGATGGCGAATGTAATAAACTTTTGGACAGGACGTGTCGAACACTAATGAGAGATGCCTAACAGACCAAATTTATGCAAATCTAATTTTTGTCATTAACTTTTTGTTTTAATAGTTTCATTTATTTGATCTTCTGTTCATTATTTTTGGTAAGTAAAAGCTAGTAAACTAAAAGATTATCAATCGTAATTAATAGTACAAATAATAATAGAAATAAATTAAACAAAAAACTGTCCAAATGTCTTGGCCTTCTAATAAAAATACAAACGGTTTCCTGCATTTCCTGCATGTTTTGATAAATTTACGAATATGAGAGAAACTACAATAGATAGGTATAGTAATGTTTATAGATAAATTGTAGAGAATTAAATTTCCTTTCATCTAGGTTAATAAAATATGGGGCGTTCCATTTAAAATTTTCGACTTTCTCCCCATTGAATACAGAGAAACGGTAATTCAATTTTTGACCAGCCTGTATAAGATACTCTGATACAATATATGACAATCTATTTGAGAGCATCTGAAGAGTAATCATGCCAATTTAGAGCTTATTTGAATGAACGTTGGCTGGAATATAGGATTTTAAAGAGCATGGTGAAATTTGCCAAAAAAACCTTAAAATCAAAATAACTCGAAAACGAAAAACGCTAACTTTTATGAAAGTCAACATATTTTTTTGTGTACAATTAAAAGGTGTAATAAAAACTAGAGCATTCCATTTAAAATAACGAAGTTATGGTCTACTTCCGGTAGACCGGAAGTGGCAGCCATCTTGAAAATATTTTAGATCGAAAGTTCCGACTGAACAACCCATACTACCAAAATTTCAAAACTGTACGAATACTCGAACCTAAAAAAGTTCTAACGAACCAGTTACGTGAGACACCCTGTATAGATTTTAGTTGCTAAAAGCAACCCAACTCCTTCCAAAAGTGATCTCATTGGAAAGAGGTTTTGATGATTTTCAGGGATTTCCAGGTGTATATAAAGATTTCAAAGAAATTCCAGTTACTTCTTAGGATTTCTGGGGTTGATATGATATCCTGGATTTCTTTTGATTTGTAGAATTTATTTTGGATTTAGTTTCAATATTTCGATTCATGATGATATTCTGTAATAAATACTTTTTGTGTTATCGAAAAATTTTTCTTGATATAATGAAGCTGTTCGAGTTAGTTGATATCGTTATAATAGAAAATTCTGTTAATCTATCTTAAGAAGAATATAGGATTCGTGAGAGTCTCTCGATCACGTCTTCCTCGCGTGGTCGAGAGCATTACGCCCCGGGCACCTTCTGGTTTACTGACACTCGTGATAACGACGGTTACAAACGAACTGGCTTATCAGACCACGCCTTCATCGACGAGTGGCGGGGACACCTCGAAGAAATTCTCCCGGTTCGTACACCAAGGAACCAGTGCGTATCTCGTCCGCGAAACCGTTCAGCTCCATCGAACCAAACTTTCTTACACGTTAGAGGTACCCACGTTGAAAATTCAACAGCATTTTAATTAGGAATGTGTAAAATTTAAATTGGATTTTTTGGTAATTTGATAAAAAAATCGTTTATCTTTCTTTTGTATTAATTATTTTATTTTTAATTTCAGCTATAATATACAAATGTGTTCTATTTTTATGCCAACCGACTACGAAATGTTGGTCAGTCATAGTCCACCAGTTTATGGAGGGTGTTTAAAAAAATATCCTTCCTACGGTTACCAACCGACCACTTCTTGTAAAGGTAATTTTACAACCGGAAAGAAGTCACCAAAAATGCCGTCAACAACAACACCACGCCGTCCATGTTTGGTGATAAGAACTGAATTAAACGGGAATGATTGTCCACCGCCTGAAGATGATCTTCCAAGTCCAACCAGGTTAAAGAAAAAAGTTGTCTTCGCGGATGACCACGGTAGGCCTTTAACACAAGTCAGGATAATGACGGAACCTTCAAATGTACCACCATTATGGAGTTTTCGTTTTCTTGCCCAAGTCACTCGGGGTTTAAATACGGAAGAATTTCCAACACCAGAAGAACCGTGGGAAGTGACGTTTTCGCAACCGGCTTCCGATTACGTTGAATTTAGAAAGAAGTTGGATGAAGAGAAGGTTTCTTTGGAAAATGTTATTATTAAAGAAAATGAAGATGCAGTTATTGGAACCGTTAAAGTAAGCAATTTAGCTTTTGAAAAAGAAGTTTTTGTTAGATCAACATCGGATAATTGGGAAACCCATCAAGACACTTACTGTAAATTTGTACCAAACGCTTCAACAAATACTTCAAGTGCAGCTTACGTTCTTTACGACACCTTCTCGTTTAAATTATCTTTACCGCCAAAGTCGAAAAGGTTGGAATTTTGCGTTTGCTTCAAATGCAATGTCGACGAGTATTGGGATAACAACGGTAATAACAATTATGTTTTGATTAAAAAAATCAACACCTTACACAAATCGAAAAGTGAAAATCAACTGTTGAATTTAAAAAGTTTTGATAACGATCAAATTCAAAAATCGAAAAGTTACGATTCACTTTACATGAAAATGGATTCTTGGTCACAATTTGCATCCTGGACCTATGCAGATAATTCACACCCATATTGGTAAAGAAGAAAACGATTACGAAAACACTTGAGAGGAAATGATGTGCGACCTTGAGTTGACCTCGCATTAACCGTGAATTCAACGTTGCCAAACTGTGCCTCCATTGCAACCGATTCGATTTGGCGAATGTTGTTTTGGCTTGTGACAACGTATCTGTGATAAATAGCGAACTATTTTTGTAATAAAAAAATATATCAACACGGTAAGAAGAATCTATATTTAAAAAATCATACTCTTGAAACATCTTTCGAGTTTGCGCACCACTATTTTCGATACCTTTAAAAGGTTTTGCGCAATCGCAAAAGAATTGTTATAAGAATAAAGTGTTAAAACAGATTTTTTTTTAATAATCCTATCGCTGATTACGTATAAGACTGAGCTGTACATAACACGTTTATATACGATTATTTTTTTGTAGTTTTTACTATGTGTTTCTAGTACGTATTATTAAAGTATCGTTTTTGTATGTAAATAGAAAATATTAAGTTACAATTAAGGAATTAAAAAGAAGTAGATTTAAATGTCAGTATGTTCCTTGTTTATATTTTTATTTTAATTTAATTAATTTAGGCCTTTTTTAAATATTTTTACGTTTATGCCTGTTATTTGCATGATTTTGTACATATAAATATAGCTTGCGAGCAAATATAGTAATCTTACATTAATTGTACCTACTCTATTTTTATTTTTTTTTCTTTTTGTTTTTGAATAAAGGTGTTGCAATCCACTTTTATTTATTTAATTTGTTATTACTGAATGAACTTCCTAAATGTACCTAGAATATGGGACAAGAATATTTCTGACCATTCACAGTCTTCGGTCGTTGTCTGGAATTCTGAACACACATTCGGTGCGTGATCATTGAGGCCATTCACGTGGCACATGCGTGAACGTGCAGTTTAAAACTGATAAAGAATTTCAATTGAAAGAGAGAGAACGAGTGAAGTTTAAGTCGCGAATGCACTGTAAACGTTTACGTTTGATATAAATAGATTAAAATCGGTGAAAATATAAATGTTATATACTAATCATTAAAATAAATAAAGTAACATTTTGTTCTGATTCTATTGTTGGACGATTGAAAGCATTTGGCACTGATCTGGAGTGTTCTCAAATTTAACTCCAGCATTAAATAGAGCAGTCTAGAAAAAACCGCATTTTATTTTTTTAATTACGAATCATTTTCTCCAATTCCACTTCCAAAAATCAAGAAAAATCCTTGACATTTCATGCTAATACACGCTTTTATACAACTAGATATGGAAATCCACTTTAAAACCGTTAACGAAACGATTGAAACTATCGTCAGAGTCCAAAGATTTTTAATTTTTTGTTCCAAAGAGGACAGGTTAAAAATAGAGTTCTTTGTATGTATACAGGTAGCTTTTAAAATTTCTTCTCTCGTATCTTAAGACATTAAAGACCAAGTTAACTAATACCAGAAATGGAGAAGAATTTTTATTTAAATATTAGATACCATTAGAACGCTGTTATCCAAACGGCAAAACCAGTTACCAGAAACCGCTTTCACTTTAATCTGCATTTACCTGTCGCGAAATCTAAAAGACCACAAAGACATCTTTATGTGAGATTTAGGACATTTCGTGAATGAAACGTTTACTTATTGAAATTCACTCTCTTGATTTTTATATACCATATAAAGATTAACAATTGTAATCGTATAATTAAAGTTCAAAGTTTATTGGCCGAAATTGATCGAATCAAACTTTTTTTTAACCCTTTGTGTCCCAAGAAGTCAAACATTTTGAAACTTTGTGACAGAATTAAAACGCTATCAAAATACACTTAGTAAAGGCCTAAAATATGCAATCGCCCTATTTTCGCATAGTCTAAGTGTCAAAAAAGATGCTAATTCAAAAATTCCTGGAAACCGTGTTTATTGAAATTAAGAAATAAAACTTATTTTAAATTGAAGCTTGAAGCTTTCTGTTTAAATCGATGTATAACAATCGATGGGTTGAATTAAAAAAATATTGAGAAAAAGAGTATTGAGTTAAAACTAACATTTTCGTATAACCTAAAAGTGTCAAAAAAGATGCTAATTTAAAAATTCCTGGAAGCCGTATTTATTGAAATTAAGGAATGAGACTTA